ACTGCAGTGAGACACTGATGCAATGCTACATTCCTCCAAATCTGATGAAGAAACACACGAACATGATATACATCAAAACTAATCAAATAAAGAATCGATTCATAGAATGTGTATCAATATCCAGCCCTAGTAGCCTTCATAATGTTTCATCAGAAACTCCTGAAAGACAAGCGAGTGAAAAGCATTCACATATGTTTTGAATAGTGTGTCATGTTGATATTTACCACGTGAGCGCGGGCGAATATGACGGGCAGCCCGAAGGCGGACACCACGATGCCTGTGGTCAGGAATATGGCCAGCTCTTTGCAGGCGTGGCTGGCCGAGTCTGTGTCGTCCACCACGCGGCGAGAGATGCAGTATGGGATAGGTGCCAGGATGTAGAAGAAGAGCAGGAACAGAGGCCAGTACGCACTGCACACAGACACAGCGTCAGCAGACGCTCCACACACACACACACACACACACACACACACACAGAGAGAGAGACAGGAGAGAGAGACACTCACTTATAGACGGGCAGAGCGCAGCCCAGCATGAGGAACATCAGACCGATCGCTCCTCCAAACGACAGGCTGATCAGAGCTGAAACACAACACACTTCACTGATAACTAACGCATAACGTCTGGGATCCGTACGGTTTATAATGTGTCTCTTCTGCTCATCACGGCTGCATTTATTTCATCAGAAATGCAGAAAAAAAACTGTAATATTATTCTAATGTAAAACAGCTGTTTTCTCTGTGAATCTCTGTTAAACTGTAATGTATTTCTGTGATGCGCAGCTGTATTTTCAGCATCATTCCTCCAGTCTTCAGTGTCACATGATCTTCAGAAATCAGTATAATATGCTGATCTATTAGTTTTGCTGCCTCATGCTTTTTTTTGGAACCAGTGATACTTTTTTCAGAATTATTTGAGGAATAAAATGTTAAAAAAAGAACAGCTTACAATAGTTGATATTATAATAATATTTCACAATGTTTACTGTATTTCTGATCAAAATAATGCAGTCTTGCTGAGCAGAACAGACTTTAAAAACATAACAAATCTCACTGATCCCAAGCTTTTGAAAAGCAGTGTATATATTGGTTTATTATTAATTACTTATATATATATATATATATATATATATTATTAAAATCATTAAAAAATATGTCACTTAATCTAAACTAACTAAAATAAAATGCATTATAAAAAGCTTTTTATTTCAAGCTAGCTCATTTTTCCTTCATCTGTAGTAACTTCTTAAACCAGTTATTAGATGTACTCAAACAAATACAGATGAAAACAAAAACAATGCTCAAAAACACAACACAATTACTACAATTGTCTGAAATAAAAACAAATTGAAAACATCTTCACTTTCCAAAGGCTGACCGAGTGAAATAATGTAATGTACATGCACATCTTCAATTAAAATATAGGCAATAAAACATGTAAATATTCAGAAATCACAGAATTATTTCTATAATAACTCATTAGCATACCATCCTCATCCTCATGCTAACTCATATCCAGATGTGCTAGCTTTTAAAAACAAATGCACATGGTCTAATATATGTATGTCAAAGTACAAAATTCCCTGATATTCATAAACACACACATATATCTCTCTCTGTGTCTGTTTGAAAGATGTGTGTATATTGTAAACACAAACCGAGATGCTAATGCTCGCCGCTAATAACACCGCTTCCGCTTCCGCTTCATTGTTTACACACAAACACCGCGAACACACGCAGCTAGAGCCGCTCACCTTTGATTCCCGCCATCGTGCAGATTCACAAACACACTAATAATTAACACAGGCTGAATAATTAACGCTGAAGAAACTCCTCGGGCTTCTGCTGCTCCGCTCCTCACTGCGCATGCGCACCGCGCCGGACGAGGCCACTTCCGGTGAGCGCGAGCGCACCGCGGTACTAAAGGAGTTATTTCACTCTATTAAAATATTTTTTTTAGTATTTAAACTAAAATAAAAGTTAAATTATTCTTTGTTTTCGAGATTGAACTTTTTCTAAATCCTTTGTAAAATAATCTCTTGTCGCTGATTGGTCTGAAGTCTCTCATAATAAACATAAACACAGCAATAATCATGTTTGTACACAAAGTTCTTAAATAACGAAGCAAGTCGAACCGGAAACCGCCGACTGCAGCGTCACGGGGGCTTTTATTTTGTTTTCGGCGTCACCGGAAGTAGATTCTTGGTGGGTTAAAGCGTGGAAACTGCCAAATAAGTTTTGTATCAGTGACAGAATTAAGGCAGTGTCTTCATAATTCATAGCGTTTATCCCGCTAAGCATGTTTTGGACAGATTAAAGCTCAGTATATATCATAACTAAATCTGTCAATTTGAACTCTGCCTCAGTCCTGTTATATCACAGGCAAAGCTCACTTGAGCTAAATATTTAATATTAATATCTAAATATTTAATTATGATACTGAAAACAAAAACAATGCCAACGCATTATAAAGGCAACGGCGCTGACGCAGTCACGTGGTGTTCCGGCGAACGTAGCGTCACACGTCATAGATCACGTGCTTTTGGCTGAACGAATCAAGCCGCGGTTTTTTACTTCGCCCCCAGCTTCCGGCGGCAGCATCGAGACATGGTTCTGGACTGCTTCCCCGAAAACGTGTTGATCGATATTTTATCTTATTTAAACGTGCGCGAGCTGGTGCGGAACTCCAGGTAACGCTACGATGCAGTGTTTCTGTCGAGTAACGTTATAAAGTGTTACAAACTGAGTTTAGTGATCGATGGTCACCGGCTCCGTGTGTTCCGGAAGTCATCAAACACAAACTAACCGCGCGGAGTATAAACTCAGACAAGTGTGTTGATGAATATAATGTGTGTGTTTAGGGTCTGCAGGCGCTGGAAGCAGCTGGTGAAGGACCAGAGACTCTGGAGAGCCGTTGATCTCTCCACATGGAAAGGGGTGAGACTTTTACCCTGATTTTACCGGTGTGTGTGTGTGTGTGTGTGTGTGTGTGTGTGTGTGTGTAGCGAGTGTGTGCGAGCGAGCGAGTGTGTGCGAGCGAGCGAGTGTGTGCGAGCGAGCGAGTGTGTGCGAGCGAGCGAGTGTGTGCGAGCGAGCGAGTGTGTGCGAGCGAGCGAGTGTGTGCGAGCGAGTGTGTGAGAGTGAGTTCTACAGATCATTTCTAAGCAGCTTCACAGCAATAAACAGGAAAATAACAGCGCTCATGTAAAATTAATCAAATGAGATGAATACAGTAAGCTGTAAAGCAATTATTTGCTCTACTTTTAAAAGTTAAATTTTCAGCAAATTTTTACATTTAATATCCTGTTTTACACATTTTCTCCTCCCTTTTAAAAGTTAATAAGTCTATTTATTTATTTAATAAGTTTAAGTCTATTTATTTAGCTTAAAAATAGCATTATAACACACTTTGTTTGTTGGCAGGTGATTTGCATTGTTTTTGATATGTTCTTGAGCACTGATTAATTGCAGAAATGAAAACCGTGAATCTGTAATGGTTCCGGTGTTGTGTTTCAGCTGACGTCTCGAGTGCTGTGGGTTCTGCTGCGTCAGTATCTGGGTCACGGGCTGCGATGTCTGCGTCTGCGCGGGCTGCTGCTGTCTGCGCGCCGCGGGGCCTTCCTCACAGAGTCCTGGCTGCAGGCGCTGCGCTCCAAGTGCCCTCGTCTGCGCAGACTCTGCCTGCAGTACACAGACCTGCGCCGTTTACGCAGCTGCCGCCTGCTGCCACCTTCACTGCAGGTGCTGGAGCTGCGTTCTTGTGAAGTCTCGCCCGGATTCTTCTCGCAGGACCCTGAGGCTGCAGTAGAGACGCTCGTCCTCGACAGTGTGCCGTCGTTCTGCGACCAGCACCTGCGCAGTCTGTGCACGTGGCAGCAGCTGAGCCATCTGGAGCTGCGGGATCTGAGCCGTGTGAGCGCAGGCGGGCTGAGGAGGTGCGTTCCCCCCGCTGCGCAGACGCTCGGCCGCCTCACACACCTGGAGCTGGAGACCCGGAGGCTGGCACAGATGGTGGCGCTGGGGCTGGGCAAGGGCTGGCCGGGGCTGGAGAGACTCAGTTTGGGCGGGAACGAGGTCAGTCCGGGTCTGCTGTCTGTCAGCCGCCTGCAGGACCTGCGCTGGCTGCGTCTGCGCGCATGCAGACTGAGCCAGAAGACGGTGATCAGATGCTGCAGGTGCGTAGAGGACACATTCACGTTCGATCAGTGCAGATACGATCATTAGTCCTGCAGTGTGAGTTTTTAAAAGAGCAAATATTCTGTGTAAACTACTGGAAGATTTAATGATTTAAAAAAAATATATATATATATTTTCTGCTCCGCAAGGCTGCTTTTATTTGATCTTGTGAATATCTGTTAAACTGTAATTTATTTCTCTGTATTTTCAGCATCATTCCTCCAGTCTTCAGTGTCACATGATCTTCAGAAATCAGTATAATATGCTGATCTGCTGCTCGAGAAACATTTCTGATTATTATCAATGTTGAACACAGTCGTGCTGCACAATATTTTTGTGGAAACCTTTTATTTTTCAGGATTCACAGATGAATAGAAAGTTCGAAAGAACAGCGTTTATTTCAAATAGAAACCTTTTCTAACATTATGAATGTCTTTACTGGCATTTTGATCAGTTTAATGCAGCCTTGATGAATCAATTTCTTTAAGAAAAATCTTACTGGCCCCAAACTTTTGAATGGTAGTGTTTCCACACAAAAAAAAAAACAGCTTTGTGTCACAGAAATTAATTACATTGTGCAATATGTGACCCTGGAGCACAAAACGTCTCCGGTTACTGTCGTAACCTCGGTTCCCTGAGAGACAGTCTCTCGACATGGCGTTAACGCCTTGGGGACTGTATAGAACAACGCCGTGGAAGCAGCGAAGTAAAAAGGCTCAGCCTCGGCGGAGCTAGCATGAACAGTTCTTGCAAGACATTAAAATGAATCCCCAACCAATCAAATACGACCCTGCGACATGCCTCGAGGGGATTGGATGTAGATTCCCGCTTAGGGATCCAATCAGGTTACTCAGAATCCATGACCGATGGCAGGTCTCTTATTGAGAGAGAGAGAGAGAGAGAGATGCAGCACCGTCGCCCTACAAAGGCTAAGACATTATAGTCATATCAAATGCATGCATACAAGTATGTAATATAACAGTGCAACGAAGCATGTGAGCGGCAAGGCCGGGCACAATACTAACAACAATATACACACGGGGCGCAACAGTCTGAATATGACGATGGCCCCGCCCCCGATCCCCCTACTCGACCTAGTCGAAACCACCAACACAGTCAAACGGCTAGTGGTTGCAGCTAGAACCATGGGTCGTACTCACCGACAGGACCTGTGAGGCTAATGACCACATGTCCAAATTGTAGAATCTGGCAAAGGTATTCAACGAAGACCATCCAGCCGCCATACAAATATCTTTGATAGAAACGCCCTTAGTCCATGCCCAGGAGGAGGCAACCGCCCTCGTCGAATGGGCTCTGACACCAATAAAATATTCCCTTCCCCGGCTAGAATATGCCAAGGCAGTAGCGTCGACCACCCAATGTGATAGCCGTTGTTTGGAGACAGGCTGCCATTTGGTACGGCCTCCGAAGCATACAAGCATACGGTTTTAAATGAGAGCTCCCTCAAGCCAACAGTCTGAAGTGGCTCGAAGAGCAGGAGGGCTAGCGCCCCCAGCACCAGAGCCAGATCCCAGGATGGCACTGTCGGAGGGCTAGAGGCTCTTAGTCTTCTCGCACCTCTCAAAAATCTGATCACTAGATCGTGTTTTCCCACTGAGCACCCGTCGATGAAAAGGCGTGAAAGGCTGAGATAGCTGCAACATAAACCTTAAGAGTGGAGGGCATACTGCCGCCGTCCATTCGTTGTTGCAAAAAATTCAGAATGTCAGACACGGGGCAGTTCTGCGGGTCCCGACCATTCGATTCACACCATCTCTCAAACACTGCCCATTTACAGGCGTACAGGTGTCTCGTAGAAGGGGCTCGCGCCTCCGTAATTGTGTCCATCACGTGGAGAGACAACGAGCCCAGGTCTACCAGTTCCCGCACACCATCCACACCTGAAGTTTCCACCATTCGGGGTTGGGGTGCCATACCGAGCCATCCGCCTGAGACAGGAGATCCCGATCGGCCATGGGGGAGCCGTTAGTATTTCCAGCCGATCGGGAAACCAAGGCCTGTTCGGTCAGTGCGGAGCGACTAATAACACGCCGCCTTCTCTCTGATTTTGTGCAGCACTTGTGACAAAATCTTCAGTGGGGGGAACGCATACAGACGAGCATTCGGCCACGGCATCGTGAGTGCATCCCTGCCTAGGGGAGAGCATGACAGAGAGAAGAACAGAGGGCAATGCGTGTTCTCCTCTGTCGCGAACAAGTCTACCTCCGCTTTCCCGAACCGTTCCCAGATCAGCCTCACTGTTCCGGGGTTCAGTCTCCATTCTACGTGAGGAATCCTGTCCCTCGATAGCATATCCGCACCGCTGTTCAGGCAGCATGGAATATGCGCTGCTCGAATGGAGAGCAGATGGTGATCGGCCCACGGCAAAAGGTGTGCTGCCTGTCTGCAAAGGGCTCTCCAGGGTTCCACCATGGTTTCAGCCGGGTACGGCCTGTTTTCCAAGCCCTTCTCGGTACTTGTGTTTTCAGCCATATCTGGAGGGGGCGCATATAGAGCAGACCGAGGTGACACACCGTCTCGGCCGCCGCCATCCGTCCCAAGAGCCTCTGATATTCCTTCAGTGCCACGGGACTGCCTAGCCTGAATGCATTCAGAGCGGACATTAAATATCGTATGCGCTCCCGGCGCTCATCGAGATCGAGTCCAACTGCACCCCTAGATACATGATTGACTGGCTGGGGCATAACACACTTTTTTATTTGTTCACACAGAGACCTAAACTCTCCAGGTGGAGTAACAGAGCGTGTTTGTGGCTGTTGAGCACATCCTCGGAATGGGCCAAGACCAGCCAATCGTCCAAATAATTCAATATGCGTATTCCGCTCGCTTTCAGAGGGGAAAGTGCCGCATGCACACATTTCGTAAATGTATGCGGCGCCAGCGCTAACCCGAACGGCATCACCGTGAACTGATACGCTATGCCTTCGAACACAAATCTCAGAAAGCGCCTGTGACAAGGGGCGATCTAGATATGAAAATATGCGTCCTTCAGGTCCACCGAAATAAACCAATCTCCGGGTCGAATCTGCGCGAGTATCAGGTTTAGCGTTGTCATTTTGAAAGCGCGTTTGTATAATGCATGGTTGATGGGTCTCAGGTCTAAGATTGGACGGAGACCACCATCTTTCTTTGGAACGACAAAGTACCGGCTGTTAAACCCGCTCTCTCTCTCGCTTGGCGGAACCACTCCTATCGTGCTTTTCTCGAGGAGATTGAGAATTTCTTGCCTCAGCACCGGCTCGTAGTGTGCCAGAACTGTTGACATGACCACGCCATTGAACCGGGGTGGTCTGTGCCGAAACTGAAACGTCTAGCCGTTCTCTATTACGTTCCGCAACCAATCCGAAATGCCCGGAATGGACCTTCTGCTGAATGTGTGAGCGACACGGACGTGCGTATGTGCGAGGTGTCGAGAGCGAGCCTCGGCCGCAGGGGTCCGACGGTGAACGTGATTTCACCAAGTACAACATGTTCCTGGAACAACATTCTAATTAACCAATCAGAATTGAGGGATTAGTTTTCAAGAAATGTCAGTTTTAGGCTTACAGTCAGGGTTAGATGCTTCTTATTCACCTATCATTTCCCTCTGAGTTTAGGAATAAATTATGGGTAGGGTTAGGTTTAGGGGTAGGGATTGGGTTAGGTCTATATTTTTGGACAGTAATGTTGATCCAGGAACATGTCTTACTTGGCAAAATCACGGCAACCGGGGTCCGACACCTGACACAGGGGTGTGAGCATCGCCAGATACAAGGGGAAGCTGCAAGCCTGACTTTATTGGCAGTTTCATGGCCGAGTGTGAGGCCGCTATCGCTGGAGGAGGAGAAAAAAGTTATTTTTGTGAGGGTGTCACAGACTTTATTGCATTTTGAACATGCACAACATAGACATTCTCGTAGTCGCCTGCAACCGCCAAGGAGACTTTGTGAGAACATCTCGAACGCTTCGCGTGGGCCCGTCGCTCGGCACTCCCCTCCCCTGTACCCTCCCATCAGGAACAAGGCTTCTGCATCGACGGAGGTGCTCCCCCGGGACGACCGCCCTTCTTGAAGTCGTAACGCCCCTTTGGTGTCCTCTGCCACAGAGTTTTGGCGTGAACAGAAGGCTCTGGGTCCGGCGCGGATGAAGCAGAAGCAGAGGGGGGCCGCTTTGACGGCCGGTTGGAAGCAGATGAGGATCTATTACGTGCTGGGGGCTGCGCTGCAGCTGGGCGAGGCAGGAAGTGACTCATGGCCTTGGAGCGTTTCTGTGCCTCTGAGAAGCGCTCCGTGATGGCCTCCACTGCGTCTTCAAAGAGGCCGGATGGAGATACAGGAGCGTTGAGCAGCGCCTTCTGTCCGCGTCCTTAAGCTCAGTTAGTGTCAGCCACAGATGCCGGTGGAGCACCACCATGTAGCCCATGCTCCGCCTGGGTTTGTGGCTCTAAGTGCAAAATACGTTGCCGCGCTTATATCTTTAAACGCCTTCGAGATCCAGCACCACCTTCGTCCAGAGATTTCAGCAGCTGTGCCTGAAAAACTTGGAGCACTGCCATCGTGTGAAGTGCCGAGATCGCTTCTCCCGAGGCGGCGTACGCTTTGTCTGCGACGTGTGCGGTCAGACGGCAGGGCCTTGATGGCAGCGTAGCACAGAGGGAGGCAGAGGTGCACGATTTTCAAATAGTTGTATCTCGGCCAAATATTGTCCTATCCTAACAAACCATACATCAATGGAAAGCTATTTATTCAGCTTTTCAAAAGACCCTTATGACTGGTTTTCTGCTCCAGGGTCACATACAGTATATGCACATGCAAAAAACAGCTATTTTAAATAGTAATAATATTTCACAATATATAACAGCGTTACTGTGTTTTCGATCAAATAAATGCAGCCTTGGTTGCATTTTCTCCTCCTTGTTAAAGTCAATAAGTCTGTTTATTATTATTATTATTGCTATTATATATATATAATCATTTTCTGCCTGTTAATACTAAAAAAACTGAAATCGCTATAAATTCTAAACGTCAAATGCGTTGCGTGCAGGTCTCTGACGCAGCTGCGCACGCTGGAGTTCATGGAGGTGGAGTTTGTGGAGGACGAGGAGGAGCGGAGACCGGACGCAGTGCAGAGCAGTGAAGACGATCCGGTGCCGGAGCTCAGACGCTCGTTACGCTCGCTGCTGCCGGAATGCAGCGTGTGTTTCAGCAGCTGCAGACTCACCGTCAACAGAGACTGACGCCCCATTCACGCGGGGCGTCTGCGTCAACGCTTGAGCGTTTCTGAAGCTTGGTGCTGACCGAGGTTATTACAGTTTTGAATTTTAATTCGTTTTATTTTAATATCGTTTTCAAATTTGCTATAAAATTCCGTTTCGTTTTTATTAGATTCATTAATATTTTTGTTAGTATTAGTTTAGTTTTCTTTTTATTAAATGAATCTACACAAGTTGCGCTTAATGTCGTATCCAATGATGTGTGTTGAGATATTTAGTATGAAAATAAATGTAGCCTGATTTGGTTATATGTCTTTTCTTATTTAACCATAATCATGATATTGTAACGGTGGGGTCTTGCTCACTTTTCTGTGAACAAAATCAAAACCGGGACTAATGCAATTCAATAATAACGGCAATCGCATTTAACAGTAAAGGCTTATATTTGAATGTTCTTTTCATGTATGAAGAATTATAAGCGTGTGTATGATGTGATTTAGCCAGTTTTAGCTGCTGGTGCACACCGCTGTATATTTTTCCGCCAAGGGGTGAGAACGTAATGATTACGAAAACGATTATTTATTTTTGATAATTATTTTATTTCAGTTCGTTTTCAATAACTGTTGTTAGTTTAGTTTCGTTTGAGTTTTTCAATTATTTTGACGTTTTTTACGTTTACGAAATTATTTTTTCATCAATAGTTTGTTTTCGTTTACGAAAATAACCTTGGTGCTGACGCGACCATCATAGTGACAACAGCCAATCACATTAGCTTTCTGGTGTTGCATGAATGCGATTGGCTAGCGTCTGCGCTAGGGTATTTGCAGAAGGCGATCTTATTGGCTGACGCCTGCGTTGGCGCTTAAAAAGTTGAAAAGCAACGGACTCAACGCAATGCGACGGGACGTCGGCGTCAACGCCTCTCATTTACTTTTGTTGCCGAAATAAAATTGTAGGTCCGTCGCGTCGGGTACGTTGCTTGCGGCAGAAGTTGAAAACTTTTCAAGCGCAGGCGTCAGCCAATCAGATCGCCTTCTGCAAATACCCTGGTGCAGATGCTAGCCAATCACGCTCATGCAACACCAGAAAGCTAATGTGATTGGCTGTTGTCACTATGACGGTCGTGTCAGCACCAAGCTTCAGAAACTCCTTCCCTCATGCGTCGGCGTCGCGTGTGAATGTACCGTGACGCTTGACACCGGCTCCCGAGGACGCGTTTGACAGAAACAGACGGAGACTTTACAGCTGTGCTCTGAGACTGCATCTGAGGAGAGGGAACACGTTATTCTGACGATTACTGTTTTGTTGCACTGCCTTTTTGACTTTAAATTACATGCATTACAATAATGAGAACTTCTGTATGCATTATTGTTGTTTTGTAATGTAAATATAAAATAATCTAAAATTAAAACATTGTTTTAATAGTGGAAAACTAGTGACTTCATGCAAATTGCAAAACACAATTTCTTTCTTTTTGATCTTGATGACATTTTTTTTAAAATGTACAAATATTTCTGTCGATTATTATGAGCTTATGAAACTATACATAATATGGGAACTGGGAAAATACATTTTACACCTGTTTTAGATGGCGTGAGTGTGTGTGTGTGTGTGTGTGTGTGTACAGGTATATATGGTTTATGAGGACACTTCCCCGTAAAATAAAAGGCTTAAAAAACATACAAAACGGTGTTTTATGAAATTCAAAAATTGGCATCGGTCTCCTGTGAGGGGTAGGTTTAGGGGTAGGGTTGGTGTAGGGCAATAGAATATACGGTCTGTACAGTATAAAAACCATTACGCCTATGGAGAGTCCCCAC